TTTTTTTCTTTCTTTCTGACTAATCTTTCTTTTTTTCTTTCTTTCCAACTAATCTCTTTCTTTCTTTCTTACTGATCTATCTTTCTTTCTAACTAATCTTTCTTTCTAACTAATCTATCTTTCTTTCTTTCTAGCTAATCTTTCTTTCTTTCTAATCTTTCTAACGAATCCATCTTTCTTTCTTTCTAGCTAATCTTTCTTTCTTTCTAACTAATCTTTCTTTCTTTCTAACTAATCTCTTTCTTTCTTTCTTACTGATCTATCTTTCTTTCTAACTAATCTTTCTTTCTTTCTAACTAATCTATCTGTCTTTCTTTCTAACTAATCTATCTTTCTTTCTTCTAGCTAATATTTCTTTCTTTCTTTCTAGCTAATCTTTCTTTCTTTCTAACTAATCTTTCTTTCTTTCTAACTAATCGCTATTTTCTTTCTTTCTTTCTTTCTTTCTTTCTTTCTTTCTTTCTTTCTTTCTTTCTTTCTTTCTTTCTTTCTTTCTTTTTTTTCTTTCTTTCTAACTAATCTATCTTCCTTTCTTTCTAACTAACTAATCTTTCTTTCTTTCTTTCTTTCTTTCTTTCTTTCTTTCTTTCTTTCTTTCTTTCTTTCTTTCTTTCTTTCTTTCTTTCTTTCTTTCTTTCTTTCTTTCTTTCTTTCTGTCTAACTAATCTTTCTTTCTAACTAACCTTTCTTTCTTTCTAACTAATCTTTCTATCTTTGACTTTAAACTAAGTTAAACCATAAACTAATTTAATCTTCAAACTACTTTAAACTTCTTCAAACTTTGCGGTCCAAACTTTCACAAGCCAACTTAAAGTTTGTCTCGACGAACTTTTTCTAGTTATTCTTCTTCTTATTATTCGTCTGACCCAAAATTTTCTGACTGCTACTCCTCCTAGAGCTTTAACTCTACAAACTCCAAACTCGGGTCAGACCTTCAGACTGTTCTGACTTAGTGTGCTATATCTTTTCAGACTGATTTGACTTTCAGATTTCTTAAAAATTAATATTAAAAACCATAAAAATCCCATTGACTTTCATTGGAACATGTTCAAATTGAGCCAAGACTACGGTGGCCCAGTAGTGTACAACACAAAAACTCAAATCTAAACTCCCTGAAGCCCTATACTCAATTAAACCACCATTCTATATGTACTAATGAATTTATCTATCTATCTATCTATCTATCTATCTATCTATCTATCTATCTATCTATCTATCTATCTATCTATCTATCTATCTATCTATCTATCTATCTATCTATCTATCTATCTATCTATCTATCTATCTATCTTTCTTTCATTCTAACTAATCTATCTTTCTTTCTTTCTAACTAACTAATCTATCTTTCTTTCTAACTAATCTATCTTTCTTTCTAACTAATCTATCTTTCTTTCTAACTAATCTATCGTTCTTTCTTTCTAACTAATCTATCTATCTTTCTTTCTAACTAATCTATCTATCTTTCTTTCTAACTAATCTATCTTTCATTCTAACAAATCTATCTATCTTTCTTTCTAACTAATCTATCTTTCTTTCTAACTAATCTTTCTTTCTTTCTAACTAATCTTTCTTTCTTTCTAACCAATCTATCTATCTTTCTTTCTAACTAATATTTCTTTCTAACTAATCTATCTTTCTTTCTGACTAACTTATCTATCTTTCTTTCTAACTAATCTATCTTTCTTTCTTTCTTTCTCACTAATCTATCTTTCATTCTAACAAATCTATCTATCTTTCTTTCTAACTAATCTATCTATCTTTCTTTCTAACTAATATTTCTTTCTAACTAATCTATCTTTCTTTCTAACTAATCTATCTTTCTTTCTTTCTAACTAATCTATCTATCTTTTTTCTTTCTAACTAATCTATCTTTCTTTCTTTCTATTTAATCTTTCTTTCTTTCTTTCTTTCTTTCTTTCTTTCTTTCTTTCTTTCTTTCTTTCTTTCTTTCTTTCTTTCTAACTAATCTATCTATCTTTTTTCTTTCTAACTAATCTATCTATCTTTCTTTCTAACTAATCTATCTATCTTTCTTTCTAACTAATCTATCTTTCTTTCTAACTAATCTATCTTTCTTTCTAACTTAATCTATCTATCTTTCTTTCTAACTAATCTATCATTCTTTCTTTCTAACTAATCTATCTATCTTTCTTTCTAACTAATCTATCTTTCTTTCATTCTAACCAATCTATCTATCTTTCTTTCTAACTAATATTCCTTTCTAACTAATCTATCTTTCTAACTAATCTATCTTTCTTTCTTTCTAACTAATCTTTCTTTCTTTCTAACTAATCTATCTATCTTTCTTTCTAACTAATCTATCTTTCTTTCTAACTAATCTATCTATCTTTCTTTCTAACTAATCTTTCTTTCTTTCTTTCTAACTAATCTATCTTTCTTTCTTTCTAACTAATCTATCTATCTTTCTTTCTAACTAATCTATCTTTCTTTCTTTCTCACTAATCTATCTATCTTTCTTTCTAACTAATCTATCTTTCTTTCTTTCTAACTAATCTTTCTTTCTTTCGAACCAATCTATCTATATTTCTTTCTAACTAATCTATCTTTCTTTCTAACTAATCTATCTTTCTTTCTTTCTAACTAATCTATCTATCTTTTTTCTTTCTAACTAATCTATCTTTCTTTCTTTCTAAATAATCTTTCTTTCTTTCTTTCTAACTAATCTATCTATCTTTTTTCTTTCTAACTAATCTATCTATCTTTCTTTCTAACTAATCTATCTATCTTTCTTTCTAACTAATCTATCTTTCTTTCTAACTAATCTATCTTTCTTTCTAACTTAATCTATCTGTCTTTCTTTTTAACTAATCTATCGTTCTTTCTTTCTAACTAATCTATCTGTCTTTCTTTCTAACTAATCTATCTTTCTTTCATTCTAACCAATCTATCTATCTTTCTTTCTAACTAATATTTCTTTCTAACTAATCTATCTTTCTTTCTAACTAATCTATCTTTCTTTCTTTCTAACTAATCTTTCTTTCTTTCTAACTAATCTATCTATCTTTCTTTCTAACTAATATTTCTTTCTAACTAATCTATCTTTCTTTCTAACTAATCTATCTTTCTTTCTTTCTAACTAATCTTTCTTTATTTCTTTCTAACTAATCTATCTTTTTTCTTTCTGACTAACTTATCTATCTTTCTTTCTAACTAATCTATCTTTCTTTCTTTCTCACTAATCTATCTATCTTTCATTCTAACAAATCTATCTATCTTTCTTTCTAACTAATCTATCTTTCTTTCTTTCTAACTAATCTTTCTTTCTTTCTAATCAATCTATCTATCTTTCTTTCTAACTAATATTTCTTTCTAACTAATCTATCTTTCTTTCTAACTAATCTATCTTTCTTTCTTTCTAACTAATCTATCTATCTTTTTTCTTTCTAACTAATCTATCTATCTTTTTTCTTTCTAACTAATCTACCTTTCTTTCTTTCTAACTAATCTTTCTTTCTTTCTTTCTTTCTTTCTTTCTTTCTTTCTTTCTTTCTTTCTTTCTTTCTTTCTTTCTAACTAATCTATCTATGTTTTTCTTTCTAACTAATCTATCTTTCTTTCTAACTAATCTATCTATCTTTCTTTCTAACTAATCTATCTATCTTTTTCTTTCTAACTAATCTATCTTTCTTTCTAACTAATCTATCTATCTTTCTTTCTAACTAATCTTTCTTTCTTTCTTTCTTTCTTTCTTTCTTTCTTTCTTTCTTTCTTTCTAACTAATCTATCTTTCTTTCTTTCTAACTAATCTATCTATCTTTCTTTCTAACTAATCTATCTTTCTTTCTTTCTCACTAATCTATCTATCTTTCATTCTAACAAATCTATCTATCTTTCTTTCTAACTAATCTATCTTTCTTTCTTTCTAACTAATCTTTCTTTCTTTCTAACCAATCTATCTATCTATCTTTCTTTCTAACTAATATTTCTTTCTAACTAATCTATCTTTCTTTCTAACTAATCTATCTTTCTTTCTTTCTAACTAATCTATCTATCTTTTTTCTTTCTAACTAATCTATCTTTCTTTCTTTCTTTCTAACTAATCTTTCTTTCTTTCTTTCTAACTAATCTATCTATCTTTTTTCTTTCTTTCTAACTAATCTATCTATCTTTTTTTTTTCTAACTAATCTATCTTTCTTTCTAACTAATCTATCTTTCTTTCTTTCTAACTAATCTTTCTTTCTTTCTTTCTTTCTTTCTAACTAATCTATCTTTCTTTCTAACTAATCTATCTATCTTTCTTTCTAACTAATCTATCGTTCTTTCTTTCTAACTAATCTATCTATCTTTCTTTCTAACTAATCTATCTTTCTTTCATTCTAACCAATCTATCTATCTTTCTTTCTAACTAATATTTCTTTCTAACTAATCTATCTTTCTTTGTAACTAATCTATCTTTCTTTCTTTGTAACTAATCTATCTTTCTTTCTTTCTAACTAATCTTTCTTTCTTTCTTTCTAACTAATCTATCTTTCTTTCTTTCTTACTAATCTATCTTTTTTCTTTCTGACTAACTTATTTATCTTTCTTTCTAACTAATCTATCTTTCTTTCTCACTAATCTATCTTTCTTTCATTCTAACAAATCTATCTATCTTTCTTTCTAACTAATCTATCTTTCTTCCTTTCTAACTAATCTTTCTTTCTTTCTAACCAATCTATCTATCTTTCTTTCTAACTAATCTATCTTTCTTTCTAACTAATCTATCTATCTTTTTCTTTCTAACTAATCTATCTATCTTTTTTCTTCCTAACTGATCTATCTTTCTTTCTTTCTTTCTAACTAATCTATCTTTCTTTCTTTCTAACTAATCTTTCTTTCTTTCCAACTAATCTATCTATCTTTTTTCTTTCTAACTAATCTTTCTTTCTTTCTAACTAATCTATCTTTTTTCTTTCTAACTAATCTATCTTTCTTTCTTTCTAACTAATCTTTCTTTATTTCTTTCTTTCTTTCTAACCAATCTATCTTTCTTTCTAACTAATCTATCCATCTTTCTTTCTAACTAATCTATCGTTCTTTCTTTCTAACTAATCTATCTTTCTTTCTGACTAACTTATCTATCTTTCTTTCTCACTAATCTATCTTTCTTTCATTCTAACAAATTTATCTATCTTTCTTTCTAACTAATCTATCTTTCTTTCATTCTAACAAATCTATCTATCTTTCTTTCTAACTAATCTATCTTTCTTTTTTCTAACTAATCTTTCTTTATTTCTAACCAATCTATCTATCTTTCTTTCTAACTAATATTTCTTTCTAACTAATCTATCTTTCTTTCAAACTAATCTATCTTTCTTTCTTTCTAACTACTCTTTCTTTCTTTCTTTCTTTCTAACTAATCTATCTTTTTCCTTTCTGACTAACTTATCTATCTTTCTCACTAATCTATCTTTCTTTCATTCTAACAAATTTATCTATCTTTTTTTCTAACTAATCTATCTTTCTTTCATTCTAACAAATATATCTATCTTTCTTTCTAACTAATCTATCTTTCTTTTTTCTAACTAATCTTTCTTTCTTTCTAACCAATCTATCTATCTTTCTTTCTAACTAATCTATCTTTCTTTCTAACTAATCTATCGTTCTTTCTTTCTAACTAATCTATCTATCTTTCTTTCTAACTAATCTATCGTTCTTTCTTTCTAACTAATCTATCTATCTTTCTTTCTATCTAATCTATCTTTCTTTCATTCTAACAAATATATCTATCTTTCTTTCTAACTAATCTATCTTTCTTTTTTTCTAACTAATCTTTCTTTCTTTCTAACCAATCTATCTATCTTTCTTTCTGACTAATATTTCTTTCTAACTAATCTATCTTTCTTTCTAACTAATCTATCTTTCTTTCTTTCTAACTAATCTATCTTTCTTTCTTTCTAACTAATCTATCTTTCTTTCTAACTAATCTATCTTTCTTTCTTTCTAACTAATCTTTCTTTCTTTCTAACTAATCTATCTTTCTTTCTTTCTAACTAATCTATCTTTTTTCTTTCTGACTAACTTATCTATCTTTCTTTCTAACTAATCTAACTTTCTTTCTTTCTCACTAATCTATCTTTCTTTCATTCTAACAAATCTATCTATCTTTCTTTCTAACTAATCTATCTTTCTTTCTTTCTAACTAATCTTTCTTTCTTTCTAACCAAGCTATTTATCTTTCTTTCTAACTAATATTTCTTTCTAACTAATCTATCTATCTTTCTAACTAATCTATCTTTCTTTCTTTCTAACTAATCTATCTATATTTTTTCTTTCTAACTAATCTATCTTTCTTTCTTTCTAACTTTCTAACTAATCTTTCTTTCTTTCTAAATAATCTATCTTTCTTTCTAACTAATCTTTTTTCTTTCTAACTAATCTATCTTTCTTTCTTTCTAACTAATCTTTCTTTCATTCTTTCTAACTAATCTTTCTTTCTTTCTTTCTTTCTTTCTTTCTTTCTTTCTTTCTTTCTTTCTTTCTTTCTCTCTTTCTTTCTAACTAATCTTTCTTCTTTCTTTCTTTCTTTCTTTCTAACTAATCTTTCTTCCTTTCTTTCTTTCTTTCTTTCTTTCTTTCTTTCTTTCTTTCTTTCTTTCTTTCTTTCTTTCTTTCTTTCTTTCTTTCTCTCTTTCTTTCTAACTAATCTTTCTTCTTTCTTTCTTTCTTTCTAACTAATCTTTCTTCTTTCTTTCTTTCTTTCTTTCTTTCTTTCTTTCTTTCTTTCTTTCTTTCTTTCTTTCTTTCTTTCTAACTAATCTGTATTCTTTCTTTCTTTCTTTCTTTCTTTCTTTGTAACTAATCTTTCTTCTTTCTTTCTTTCTTTCTTTGTAACTAATCTTTCTTCTTTCTTTCTTTCTTTCTAACTAATCTTTCTTCTTTCTTCATTTCTTTCTTTCTAACTATTCTTTCTTCTTTCTTTCTTTCTTTCTTCTTTCTTTCTTTTTTTTCTTTCTAACTAATCTTTCTTCTTTCTTTCTTTCTTTCTAACTAATCTTTCTTTCTTTCTTTCTTTCTTTCTTTCTTTCTTTCTTTCTTTCTTTCTAACTAATCTTTCTTTCTTTCTTTCTTTCTAACTAATCTTTCTTCTTTCTTTCTTTCTTTCTTTCTTTCTTTCTTTCTTTCTTTCTTTCTTTCTTTCTTTCTTTCTTTCTAACTAATCTTTCTTCTTTCTTTCTTTCTTTCTTCTTTCTTTCTTTCTTTCTAACTAATCTTTCTTTCTTTCTTTCTTTCTTTCTTTCTAACTAATATTTCTTCTTTCTTTCTAACTAATATTTCTTCTTTCTTTCTTTCTTTCTTTCTTTCTTTCTTTCTTTCTTTCTTTCTTTCTTTCTTTCTAACTAATCTTTATTCTTTCTTTCTTTCTTTCTAACTAATCTTTCTTTCTTTCTTTCTTTCTTTCTTTCTTTCTTTCTAACTAATCTTTATTCTTTCTTTCTTTCTTTCTTTCTTTCTTTCTTTCTTTCTTTCTTTCTTTCTTTCTTTCTTTCTTTCTAACTAATCTTTCTTCTTTCTTTCTTTCTTTCTTTCTTTCTAACTAATATTTCTTCTTTCTTTCTTTCTTTCTTTCTTTCTAACTAATCTTTCTTTCTTTATCTCTTTTTTAAACTAATCTTTCTTTCTTTCTTTCTTTATTCCTAACTAATCTTTCTTCTTTCTTTCTTTCTTTCTTTCTTTCTTTCTTTCTTTCTTTCTAACTAATCTTTATTCTTTCTTTCTTTCTTTCTTTCTAACTAATCTTTCTTTCTTTCTTTCTTTCTTTCTAACTAATCTTTCTTTCAGTGAAACCAATCCTTCTGTCTATCTAAATAATCTTTCTTTTCTTTTCTAACTAATCCATCTATCCGACTTCAAACTACTTTAAACTTCTTCAAACTCTCTGGTCCGGCTTTCTCAAGCCAACTTAAAGTTTGTCTCATCAAACTTTTTTTCTAGTTTCTCTTGATATCAGCATGTTCACAGGTGTTTATTAATTTTTTTTACAGGGACAAAATGCCACTGATGAGTCCTGCTGAGTTCAACATTCACAGGAGACTGTAATGAAAAATCAAACACCTTGGAAATGACAGGTATGTACTATGTTTCAGGAATGGGACCATGCTGTGTGACTGTGCAAGCCTCTGTCTTTAGATCAGTGTGTTTACTAATGTGCTTTTTTGTCCTTTGTTGTGTATCTTTGGATTATGTTGTGTTGTAAATAAATCCAAACAATCTAAAAGCCAATCTTTTTTAAATCTCCTCATTCTTTGTGCAAGGCTCCTCGTAATGATAGGGCCTGATAGCACCTAATAGGGCCATTATGGGAGGGTCTTTGTCTTTCTCAGGTGTGAAATGCCATACATATTAATGAGAGATCATGCCTCCTCGCATAAAGCTTTCTCAAACAAAACACGTCATACACATTCTAAAAGACTTTATTGACTTATCTGAATGAGTAGTCAGGATGATTCTCACATAGTTTTGGAGCAAATATTCTAGACTATGTGATAAAATTTTCAAAAGTCTTGTGAAGAAATAATCAATATGTGTTTTGTGGCCTTATTTCAGAAACTTTTATTTTTAAGTTTTTCAATAACCATGCATAAATAATATTCTCTCAAAAACACAAACATGTGCATACATGTTGCTAACATATTATGGTAGCCCCATTTGTGCTATATAGAGTGAATTTACACCTTTGCTATTAACATGTTTATAAATAACTGAAAAAAGCACAAATGTCAGTGCATGTCAAAACATCCCAAGGGCCCCAAAAACCCCTTGGTCCCCAGAGGGTTAAGACTAGCAGTGCATACTTTGAACAGGGGGACAAAGCTGGTAGAATGTTGGCACATCAATTACGGCAGACTATCTCCTCTCATCAGATACCGGAAATTGTCACATCTTTAGGCACTACGACAGACCCAGAAAAAATAAATGATGAATTTAGAGCTTATTATGCTTCATTATATACATCAGAGATAAACGTGGAAAAGTGTGATTTTGGTGGCTTCTTCTCCCATTTAGAAATCCCTCAGGTTAATCTGGATTATTGGGGTTTCAATTAGAAACCCCAATAACTGTTCTAGAACTTAAGGGTGCTCTTAAAGCGATGCAGTCTGGCAAATGTCTAGGGCCAGACGGCTTTTCTGTAGAGTTTTATAGATGCTTTCAAAACAAACTAGCCCCGGTTCTGATTGATATGTTTAATGAATCTTTTCTGACTGCTAAACTTCCCCCTACATTTAATCATGCATCGATTTCTCTTATTTTGAAAAAGGACAAGGACCCTCTTAGTTGCTCTTCGTATAGACCAATTAGTTTATTAAATGTTGATTTCAAAATTTTATCTAAAATGCTTGCTTTTTATTTGGAAACTGTTCTTCCAGATATCATCTCTCCAGATCAAACGGGGTTTGTTAAAAATAGGCACTCCTTTTTTAATTTGAGAAGGCTCTTTAATACTATTTATAATCTTCCGTCAACAACCTTACCTCAAGCAATTTATATCGTTAGACGCGGAGAAAGCCTTCGACCGCGTGGAGTGGGCATACTTATTTTATACTTTGGGGAAATTCGGCTTTAAGGAAAATTTCATTTCTTGGGTGAAGCTTTTATACTCGTCGCCTTTAGCTTCAGTTAGGACAAATAATAATCAGTCTTCTTACTTTCCTCTTTATCGTTCAACGCGCCAAGGGTGCCCTTTAAGTCCTCTTTTATTCGCTGTGGCAATTGAGCCTCTTTCCATTGCGCTTCGTGGTGACCCGCACATTAAAGGCATTGTGAGTTGTGGGCAAGAACAGAAAGTATCTTTATATGCTGACGATCTTCTTTTATTCATTACTGACTTCTCTGTGTCAGTCCCAGCTGCACTCGCTGTTCTTCGTTCATTTGGATCCATATCTGGCTACAAGTTAAATTTTTGTAAGAGTGAGCTTCTTCCTCTCAATAAGGCAGCACATGAATACCCACTTCACACCTTGTCGTTTAAAGTCGCTCAGCACGAGTTAAAATATCTTGGAATTCAGGTTACTGCCAAATTCAAGGATC